CACGTGCAATGATTTTCACCTGTGATTCCCCCGGGCCCACCGATTTGCAGCTCCCTTCGCTCTCGTAGGAGTTAGGATTTGGCGCGCGAACCGGCGGACCTTTTACCTGACCCCATCTCGAAAGATAAGGTCACCTATGGTAAGAGAGGGACACAACGTGCTCCCTTCTCTCACCCACTTTTTTAGGGGAGAGGCGTTAGGCACTGGCCCCGCGCGTCTCCGCCCTCCCTTCTCCCTTAAAAGGGAGGACGCCCTAGCTATGTGAACCTGGCACCCGACTTAAAGTAAATGGATATTTCAGGTACGCATTCGATTGTACTTTGTTTGTACCCGTTTGTACCGATTTTTATTTTGTTTGTACCCGTAAGGGTTGGAAGTTATTAAGGGTTGAAAAATCACCAGCACCCCACTTTGAGATATCGTAATTTTTGTGGTGCTGTTTGATTCAGTATCGTTTGTACCCGTTTGTACCGCTTTTCATTTCGTTTGTACCCCTAAGGGGGTGGAAATACGGCGTATTTAATATTCGCGAAAGGGGTAACTTTGCTATTTTTAAAGATATTCGAAATCTGTTAACGGGTGCTGCTTCCTAATCGTTTGTACCCGTTTGTACCGCTTTCCATTTTGTTTGTACCCCCACGGGGTGAAAGTACCGAATTTTTAAAATAGGGATAAAAGCTAACTTTGTAAATTTTAAAGATATTCGAATTCTGCAAACGGGTGCTGCTTCCTAATCGTTTGTACCCGTTTGTACTGCTTTCCATTTCGTTAGCTCTTACCCCTATTTTAAAAATTTGGTACTTTCACCCCCGTGGGGGTACAAACAAAATGGAAAGCGGTAAAAGCGGGTACAAACGATTAGGAAGCAGCATCCGTTTGCAGAATTCGAATATCTTTAAAATTTACAAAGTTAGCTCTTACCCCTATTTTAAAAATTCGGTACTTTCACCCCCGTGGGGGTACAAACAAAATGGAAAGCGGTACAAACAGGTACAAACGATTAGGAAGCAGCACCCGTTTGCAGAATTCGAATATCTTTAAAATTGACAAAGTTAGCTCTTACCCTTATTTTAAAATTCGGTATTTTTACTCCCGTAGGGGTACAAACGAAATGGAAAGCGGTACAAACGGGTACAAACGATTAGGAAGCAGCACCCGTTTGCAGAATTCGAATATCTTTAAAATTGACAAAGTTAGCTCTTACCCCTATTTTAAAAATTCGGTACTTTCACCCCCGTGGGGGTACAAACGAAATGAAAAGCGGTACAAACGGGTATAAACGATTAGGAAGCAGCACCCGTTTACAGATTTTGAATATCTTTAAAAATAGCAAAGTTACCCCTTTCGCGAATATTAAATACCCCGTATTTCCACCCCCTTAGGTGTACAAACGAAATGGAAAGCGGTACAAACGGGTACAAATGATACTGAATCGAACGGCACCACGAAAATTACGATATCTCAAAGTGGGGTGCTGGTGATTTTTCAACCCTTAATAACTTCCAACTCTTACGGGTACAAACAAAATAAAAATCGGTACAAACGGGTACAAACAAAGTACAATCGAATGCGTACCTGAAATATCCATTTACTTTAAGTCGGGTGCCAAATTCACATAGCTGGACGCCCTGCCTTCGCTGTTTTGGGGTCTCTACTTCGGCTGTTTCGCCGAGGGAATCTCGTCAAGCCCCCGGCGAGGTTCTCTTCCCGTTCATGCTGGTGGTTGCATTCGCGCACTTCAGCCTTCTGACAAGAAATCTAACCTAACCTAACTTAACCTAACTCTTACCTTTTTTTTGAGATACGGCGCAGGGCAGAGGATTCCTTTTTACAGATACCTATGGGTCGGCCTTATAGGTTATGTGGTGACTCATTCATCCAGAGCACCTCGTCTTTGATAGTGTGTTGGCGGCTGTCCCCCAACTCCTATCAGAGATAACAGCTCTGAATGGCCCTATCCACTAAACCTTTGCCCGTGCCCATTGCATGGGCCTCTTCTTTCGCTTTCCGGCAGTGCAGCAGGAACTGTTTTCCACAATACATCTACTGCACTGCCGGGACTTGCCTTTCTCTCCTCTTTTATCCCTTTTTCTTCTTCATTATCTCCTCTCCTATTCTCCCACCGACCCTTAAAAGGACGGTGCTTCTCTCTTTCAGGTGCATACGTATACCGATGTTAACCCGATACACGCATACACTCCCTAACCTTTTTACATATATATATACATGCAGACTTTCTTCCACCTACACACTCCGATATACACACACACATACACACATGCGCGCGCGCACGCACACACACGCACACGCACGCACGCACGCACGCACGCGCGCACACACACACACACACACACGCACACACACACGCACACGCACACACGCACACACGCACACGCACACGCACACGCACACACGCACACACACACACACACACATACATATACACATATCATTATTTATTAAATAATATAAATAATGCCTCTCTCCATCTTATCCTCCGTCATAACTAGGTTGATTGTGCAGACAGGTTCTCACCTATCTGCCTTTCCCTCTCTCTTCTCTCCTTTTCCATTACTACTTCAGCGAATTTGGACACCTCATGCCACTTCTCTCTACTTTTGCACATTGCCGCTACAATGTGCTTCAAGGAGAGCGCATCCCCTATCTTCTTTCTTAGTTCTTTTCTCTCCTGTTTTCAGGCCATACACGATTGAACTGTTTGCTCTGCCGCGTCCACCATACCCATTACGCAATGCTCGCACATCGGGGACTGGACACTGCCTATTCTGTATAGATAGGTTCCAAAAACACTATGACCTGTCAGGTTCTGCGTAAGTCTAAACGATAGATTCCCATGCTTACGCATGAATCAGCTACTCATATTGGGCACTATGGCCTCCCTGGTCCGGCTAAGTTATAGTTCTGCATATAGATCTGCTGGTGCATGAGGACCTCTTCCATCTTCTTAATTTCCTCTTCTGCCGATGGCGTCCAGTCTCCCGTCCATCTCTGATGTCACAAATCCTTTGATGAGACTTTGCTCTGACGCCAGATATAGCGGCGGAATCCTGGCCAGTAATGTGGCCGCCGCGAATGAGGTTGTGCGATATGCAGATATAACTCTTATCGCAATTGCTCTCTGGATTTGATTCATTCTTGCTTGATGTTTTCTTGAGGTCGCTAGTTTTTTATACCAAACCGGTGCTCCGTATAATAATACAGAATGCACCACATTTGCATATAGACGCCTCTTCATTTCTGAAGGTTCTCGTAGATTTAGCATTAGCCTAACTTAACCTAACCTATCTCAACCCATGTGCGAAGAAAAATTTTTTATTAGTAATAATTCACTGTTGTGTCCCTTCATAAAATATCCCTGCAACCCCCAAATCCCTGTAACCTTCATATCTCTGCTCTTTTACTGTGCTCTACTTGCTCACGAACGCAATTAAAGAGTACTTTGAAATACCCTGTATATATTGATGTGTTGCAATTTAAACTTTATTTAATGGAAAAATATATTTAATTTAAAACGCTTGTGTCTATTAATTGAGTAAACAAGCTGAACTTTTATATTTTGTTCAACGAGACAACATTTATGGTCTACACATAGATGGACAAAGTGAACGAGACTCTATTTATTGTCAGTAAAGCGCAGTTTTCATTGATGCTAGAAACCAGCGTCAAACGGAGATTATGTGACTAAATTTGTCGCTTGTCTAATGGAGGGAGTAGTGGCAAAATATGCGCGTTGTGAACCGCCGATAAAATTGAGAATATAATGGCTTACAGGCAGAAATATTGTGCATGGATGACAAAACGTGCGAGGCAGGTGAATAATGTTCAAAAAGAACTCTTTCTTCTTTTTTGTTCATTGTTAATTACAATTATTGTTGAGTTTGCGGCACGCTGAAAAAGTTGAAACGGTCTGAACTTTATTTCTCACTATATTTTCTTGACGCCGAATCTAGAGAAAGTCTAGTGATTTTAATTTGACGCTGGTTTTTAGCGTTTATGAAATTGCACTTTAATGTATATATGTAAATATAGCACACCTCAACCTTTTTTTTTTTTTTTTTTTTTTTTTTTTAAGTGAGGTGAGATAGTCCTTATGATCTAATAGTCTAATTTACTAGTTAAACAGGATTCGGATCTTCTGATTAATCAACGTGCTGATTTTTCTGAGCAGCAAATGATCGATTTGCGTAAATGTATGGTTAATTAGATCCTTTCGATTATTTACATAGAGGTTTTTAGGTTTTTATACATTATATTAGACTGCTAACATGTATAAGCCATATCGTGAAATGTAATGCAGCTATATCTAATTGGATAGACTTTGATATGCTGTTTTTTAATAAAACGATAATATGAATGTACATGTCAAAATAAAACAAAATATCAAATACTGCATATTTAAAAACAAGAAATATGCCAATGACTTTTAGCATATTTGACTGTCCAACTTACATATTCTACCCAATTAGATATGCATGACCTTGCATTATATTTAGTATAGCTATTAATGACTTAATATATAGAACTGCGATTTGTATACATATATAAAAGAAGGGATATTTCAAAATTCCTTCAGTAGGAATTATTTGTAATAGAAATTAGTTGTTTGTTATTTAATAACTAATTTTAATACTAGCGTTTTATTCTCACTTTTGACAGTTAAGCTCAAAGCACAATAGAGAAAATATTAGGAATAAAAATAAATAAATAAATATCAAATGTATTAATCTTATTGCATAATATTAATATACAGACAATAAAAACAGGGAATGAAAAATATCCATCAATAGAAGCAGGAAATAAATATTATTCGGCTTTCTATTGATAGATATTTCCTGTTCCTATTGCCTGTACTTTTTTATTATGCAATAGGTCTTTATTTCTATTTCTAATATTTTCTGTATTGTGCTTTGATCTTTAAAAAATTTTGTTGCTTTTAAATAAATTTAAAAAATTAAGCTAGACTTACAAATATTTTTCAGCATGATACGGAGATCCAAAATGGAGTGAAGATTAAAGCTGAACCTGTTGATACGACTACATTAAATATTGACACAACGGATAGATTAGTTAAAAATATCTTTAATCTTAAAAATGATACGTTAGATAAAAATTGTTTGAATATGATTAATCGTGACGAATCATCATTATCCATAAACGACGTTTCGCCCCAAACTGTAAATAGTAGAAAGAGTAAACATATATTTAATAGTCATTCTGCATATATAAATAGCACTGATAAAACTAATTTAAAACGCAAAAGGACAATTGTTGAACGCGATGCTTTATCACAATCAAAAAAGAAACGTTCTAACGATTTTCAAATTTCTAAAAATGAGAATATTAATGCGTTTACAAAAACAACCGAAAAATTTGAAGAAAAAAAGAAACAGCAAAACATTAGCTCAAATTCTAGAACCAAAATGCGACACACTAATCAATCGTCGAAAAGAAGAGACCCTACTGAATGTAACATATGTTTTAGAAAATTCTCTTCTGTTCAAAATTGTGAAAGTCATAAACAATACTATAATGGAGATTATAAATGTAAAAATTGTAACAGACATTTTATTACGAGGAAGAAACTTAATTTACATGTTAGGAACAGTTGTAACGCGACACATGACGTTTATCGTCCCTCAAACTTAGTTTGTAATTTTTGTAATCGTGTTTTTAGAAATAGATTTAAAGCACTTCTACAATCGCACATATTTCACGTACATAGTGAATTAATAAATTCTAGTAACATAATTAAACGCAAAAAACTGAAGCCTAAGAATGTAAATACATTTTGTAAAAATGCCACTTTGAAAACTGATGCACATGAAGAGTCACCACGTACAAATAATCTCATGAAATCGGAGAAACAAAATGCTCTTATAAATAAAAATGAATCTTGGAACGATGATGATATGGTGAAGACTGACGCCAAAAACTTAAAAACTGAAGAATTATTTAATAATGGAATGTCATCCACGAAAAAATTACGGCAACCAACATTAACGGAATATTTAGAATTTTGCAAAAAAAAACGCAATATTAATGCCAGTCCAAATAAATTTAATATTGATTCTAAGATGAAAGATAGTTTTCCATCCGCTTTATCTCATGATGAAAGAGAGGTAAAAACTTTGAAACCAAAGTTTTCAAAAATATATAATAAACAAGTTGATTCTTCATCTGCAAAAACAAATAATCTAGAACAAATGACACATTCTACTATGGAGCAAGATAAAAATTGCGAAGAGTCTAAGAAGCCATTTGTAAAATTACATGCGGATGTTGAAATGATGAAATCTTTTCTGGAAAAACTTCCAAATACAACCACCGAAGATAAAGGAATTAAAGATAGAAGAAATGACATGATTTCATGTTATCACGAGATGCCATATAGTTTACGATCTCTAAGAACTATAGCTTCTGCAGAAACAATTCCAAATTTAAGAAAAAAGAAGAAAAAAGATATATCTAAAAAATCTCAACTTAACACAGAACGTAATACTAGAACAAAACACGATGAGACTGATAAAATAGTTTCTAACTTTTGGAAAACTATTATGGTTCGTTTTAAATGTAAGAATTGTAGAATTATTTTAACAAGATGTGATGAGAAGATCAGAAATTGTCATCAAATTGCTACAACTGAAACCACGTTTAAAGAAAACAACTCCTTTTCTTCTCAATGTAATTCTACGTCATTTCAAGAAAGTGATATACAGAATAAAGTGGTACTGAAGAAGTTAGAAGTGTCTTTGGAACGTTTAGCAACTGTTCCAGATGCAGATGTAAAAGAGAAGATAGTATCAGAAGTCGAAAAATGTAATGATGGCTTCTTTTTGTGTAAAGTTTGTAAAAAAAGTTTCTTTTCAAAATCGGACAAGCACATGCACATTAAGTCGTCTCATATAGCATATATGTCAAGTATATGCGATGCACGATATAAGTTGAAACATAAATTACTTCAACATTACTTAAGTGAACATCTATCCAAACAAAATCAATGTTGCATTTGTTATGTACTATTATCTGATTATGTTGAGTTGAAACGACACTTAAGTATTCATTGTCTGAAATATGTTCGGAGAGAAAATGATCAGTACCCAATAGATATTGATATAAAATGTAGTTCAATTAAAAATACTTATAAGTGTTTTCGTTGTAACATGGTATTCCTAACTCAATCAGAGCTGATGATACATCAAAGTTTTTGCATATTACAGGAAGAAATGACCGAAGATCAAAAAGTTTCCATGAAAAAAATAAACACACTCTCGAAAATTATTTTTAAGATGCAGAGCAGTAAGAATGCTGATGGACTTCCGGTTACACATGATGAAAAGATTAATTTTAATGAATGCTCAAGTAAGAAGTCAGTAGAAATAACAAATAAACATCAGATATTGCTAATTAATGAAGAAGATCCGAAAATTGCTAAAGAAGAGTCAAAAATTAATGAAAATAAACAAAATTCTTCTGTTAATAATAACTTAGTTACGAAGAAAATCGAAACCATCAATGAATCACAAAACTCGGCAAAGCTTTTAGAAAATGATAATCCTACGATTAATAACCATGATGTTGCAAATGCGCAAGTGGATTCCATTAAATCAAAAATTATTGAAGAAGAGTCAAAAATTAATGAAGATAAACAAAATTCTTTTGTTAACAATAACTTAGTTACGAAGAAAATCGAAACCATCAATGAATCACAAAACTCGGCAAAGCTTTTAGAAAATGATAATTCTATGATTAGTAACCATGATATTGCAAATGCGCAAGTGAATACTATTAAATCAAAATTATTGTTTATCCCTGTGATGTATGTGGAAAACAATTTCATAGCCACAAAAATTTGCAGCAACACAAACGTACTTTTAAAGATGCTACTGATCTCTGTCCAATATGTTGCACTGCGTTCAGTTCGAAACGTCTTCTACAAACACATATTACGGCGGCACATGTACCGGAGATCTCAAAAACTTATAATTTTCACTGTGTATTTTGTAATCAAGGTTTTATTAAAAAATATGAACTTCGACCTCATATATTACATCTGCATGACCAAGAATTACTCGATACACTCACGCGTGATTCTCATACGAATCAAAAAGCATCAAGTACTCATACAGCGGTGTGTAATATATGTAATTTGGTATTTGAAACTTATGATCGTTATATGGATCACAAAATGTATTATTATCAAAATCATACATTTACTTGCTCGCTCTGCGCACAAAATTTTCAAGGAATGTACATGTTGGATCATCACAACAAACTTACGCATTATTCAGAAGATAAACGTAAATCCTACAATTATATTTGTGACATATGCAACGAGGGATTTAATCTTGAGTCTCATTTTCATTCACATAATATGCATGTCCATTGGAATGAAAAGAAATTAACTGAGATTGCAAAAGAGTCTAAAGAAAGAAGCCAACTTGACGCATCCGAGGACCAAGAACAGATTAGTTCTACAAATCAACAAAAGGAAATTGAACAATCGTCCAATGAAAACATTTGCCAGATTTGTCAATTGAAATGTATAGATACTAATGATATGGAAAATCACATAGCATTTTACTCTAATGATGGCGATTTTAAATGTGACAGATGCAAGAGACAATTTAGAACACTTAATTTGCTTTATAAACATAGAACATTAACTCACATTTGTCGTGATATTTATAATGGACATATTTGTCACGTTTGCGGCGAAGTTCTGGAAACAGCTATTTTATTGGAATGCCATAAGAAACACTTTCATTTAAACGATATTGTATGCAATAACACGGATGATTGTAAGAATTGTGAACACGCATCATCTTCGAATTCAAATGAAGTAATAAAACATCCACTTAACTCTAATGATGTATATAACACAGCCAAATATAGATATAATTGTTTGTTTTGCAATATGAAGTTCTTGTCTGCTGATGCTATCCAGGCACATATTTTTCAGATCCATATTGATGAGTTGTTTGTCGAACACACTACGTTAAGCTCTATATCTTCCACGATTAAAGACGATAATATTCGAAAGCAGTTAGTTCAACAAAGGGTTAAAGTTAATCAAGCATCAATATTAACATCAGTAGCAACAACAACTATATCAGCAGCAGCAACTATAACATCAACATCAGTAACAACAACTATAGCACCAGTAACAGCAATTACATCATCATCATCAGCAGCAGCAGCAGCAGCAGCAACTACAACATCAGCAACAACAGCAACAACTACAACCTCAACATCAGCAGCAGCAACTACAATATCAATATTAGCAACAACAGCAGCAATTACAACATCAACATCAGCAACAGTAGCAGCAACTACAACAACAGCAACAATAGCAGCAACTACAACAACAACAGCAACTACAACATCAACATCAGCAACCGTAGCAGCAGCAACATTTCAAGATAATTATAGACAATTTCTTCAAGATAATACTTCAAATAATATTTTAGATAAACATGGGGTAAAAATAAAAAAAACTTATTCCAATTTTGATTTACCAAATAAAATCAAATTCATAGTTCCAGCAGATAATAAAATTGCGCTGAAAGTGCCTACGATGCCATCTATTAACGAAATTTGGAACAATGTTGCAACACCTGTTGCATCAAGTAGTCAATTTAATCAAAATTTTAAAACTTCAATTCTACCCACAATTCTATCCACTAAATCAACTAATAAGCTCAGAAAAAGTGATACAAGTGATTTAAAATCTAAATCGATTAATGAATTTAGAACCAACATTGTTTCGCCAATGATTAAATCTGATTTTAAAATCCTACCTGTAATCCAATCAAATGGATCACACAAATTTGTAATTGTTCCACAAACTATAAAAAGTAATGCAATTACAAATAACAATTCTAATTACATGTGTCCTTTATGTCCATTAGAGTATCCATCTTTGTTCTTTTTAACGCTCACCTGAAATATGCTCATGCAGATTTTATTCAAACTGATGATAATCCACAATTGAATCAATTAACCCAGAAGGATTTATTTCTAATAAAATGTTTATTATGCTCATTTAAGTTTACTGATGAAAACAAGTATAAAAGTCATTTGAAAAACTCTCATAATTATGTACATATTCCGAACTCTAAGAATGTGAAAACAAAGGATGATAATAATCAATCAACCCAGGTATCTCTAATAAAATGTTTATTATGCTCATTTAAGTTTACTGATAAAAACAAGTATAAAAGTCATTTGAAAAACTCTCATAATTATGTACATGTTCCGAACTTTAAGAATGTGAAAAAAAAGGATGATAATAAAAATAGCACAACTCCTGAAATTATTATTGTTGATGATGATGACGACAATGTCGGTAATAGTTTAGATCAACCTACAGTCGAAACTACAGTCATGCTCGGAAAACAGAATGAAAAACAGAATGAAAAATTTGGTAAATTGAGAGTGAAGCCTTTTGCGAAAATTATGGAAAACTTATCTAAGGAGCATGCATTGAAAGTACAGTCTAAGTAAGTCTCTCATTCTTCATAAAAGCTTTCAAGGTGATTTTGACAGTGCAGTTAATGACATTAATTGCTTTAAGTATTTTTAAGTAATAGTAAGGTTTCTTACATACTAATACACAGAATGTTGTTTCGGTTTTGATGATTTGTCACAGAAAGTTAGTTAAAGGGAATTAATTTATTCATTCTGATTTATAACATGCAGATATGATTTCTAATTGATATTAGAACGGATTGAGTCGCTGCATAAAATATATAATACTATTATGTCCATCCAATTAAACTAATATAGCGAAATTATTATCTAAAATTATTATACGAATACGTACAAATAAGATATTTGAATAAGTAGAATATTATTGGAGATATGTATGAAGCTCTTCGAACTAGATGTTTACATGTATCTTTGTATCTATTTCATAAAAATAAAAAACAGTTCTTATAGAGTTAGTAGTATAGTTAGGGTTAGATTATATAATTAGATATATCTATAGAATCTTATATTTACAATTGATTATCATAGAAATGTACAATTTAATTAAAATATAATTATTTAATACATTGTAAAGTAACGCTTTCAATTATAATTAAATAAATTAAATAAATTCTTAAAATGAAAACTATTGTTAGAAATTCTAATAATTTAATATTATTTGTAATAAAGTAAAGTCTCCTTAAATTTGGCCCCGTAGTTTTAATATTTTTCTCTATGTACTTCTTTAAATATATACTAATGTCGCTTGATGATGAGGCACAATATTTCTACAAATTTTAACAGCTTGGTATGCGCATCTGCGTTCGCACAAGTACAAGGCATATTGTGCTATACTGATAAAAGTATTTTTCAATTTTTTCCCAAGAATTTTCTGCTCTTCTTACTACATAAGGCAAAAATTAAGATTTTACTATATTTGTTGTATATAAAGAACAAAAGTAATTTTTTTGTTAACATTATAGAATTTTGAAAAGTATTGTTTATGTAGCGCTTAAGAATGTCTGTAAGTATACAACAATGTACGTACTGACAAAAATGAAAATCCGAACATCAAGAAGGAGTTATGTTAGATGAATGAAAATTACACAGAATGTTTGTTCACATAAATAAGTGTTTACATTGATACCAATTACAAGATCACAATTCATAGGAAGTGCGTGTAGTGGCATGGCAAATACAGAATAGAATTTTCTATAAATACTTGAAAGCTGTTTGTAAACATTAGTATCACTGTGAAAGGCTATGCTAACATATACTACGATTGTACAGAATACCTTGAAAGCGATACTGCACTCATTAATTAACTCAATTTGAACGAGATTGTGTGATAGGCCTCGAGAAGATGAATTTTTGTATCGTGAAATCGCGATAAGAATGAGACATCTCTTCTGTGTACAACTATTGGCAATAACCCTGAAAACTGCTACTAAATGACTGGGATTTGGACCTTTCCGATCCACTGGAAAGAGCGAAGATCGGCACATTCCTGGATGGTCCTGGCGGAGCAGAGTGCGTCTGCAGCATAAATTCAAGCTGCAATTATATTCAACGACACCATAAAAACTGTTTTCAATTGTTTATTTGAGAGTGTCTGCTCTAGCCGGCTTGTGGCGTGCTTGCCAGTCTTGTTCTATCAAATTCATCTTGAGTAATATTGCACAAGAGCCCTGGATAGTAGAATGGAATACTGATTGTTTGCAGCTTGTCCGTGAAAACCACAATCATAGTAGAATATTAGCATAGCCTTTCATAGTGACCTTAATGTTTATAAACAGTTATTCTATAGGTGTTTAATGGAAAATTCTATTCTATATTCGCCATGGCGCTACATACACATCTTATGAATTGTAATTTTGTAACTGGTATCAATGTTAATATTCATATAAGCAAACATGCTGTGTAAATTTTATTCATCTAGCATAAATCTTTTATGTTGAGATTTTCATTTGTGTCAGTATTATATTACAATGTATTATTGTATTATAATTATATTTTTGATTTATTAATAATGTTATTTTTTATATCCTAGGAAAATGTTTTGAAAATCAACAATAATTTTAAAATTTTCATGTTTATAAATTTCATTATTTCTTGTTTATAGTATAGTATATAAGTTAGGTTATAGTATATAAGTTTATATTGTAATTTTAAGTCTGTTTTTAGCTTTATAAAATGTGTATATATAAAGATAATATAAAGTTAAAATTATTTGTAGAGTCACTTAGATACGATTAGTTAAAGAAATTTATTAAATAGGCGGCTTTTTAATAGTTATGAATATTTCTTTATCTTTTCGATCTATATAGACATATTTTGAAATTTTCAATCATTTTCTATTTTTTTTTGTTCTGATTTGTTTCCTAATGAAGAAAAAAAATTAACGATTGCAAAAATAGTTATAAGGTACTTTGTTTATTTAAAATTTTTGAAGATTTTTTTCAAGGTTAGATTTGATTAGATTAAGTTAAATTAGGTACATAACACATTAAGCATATAATTACACAAGAAATCATCGATTTTTCAAAATCTATATATATGTATATATGTATACGTATATATATATATATATATATATATATATTGTATTCAGGAAGAGAACGCAACTTTCTGCGCATAAAGTGGGGAGAGCGTGGCTACTCACATTCAGTAACGTATATATATATTATAAATACGGCATACCAGGTCTAGATTTATTGTTTGATGTTTCGGGGGCTTGGTGTCATTCATTGCAGGTACTAACAAGTTACAAAAACAGTAAAGGGGGAGATCATGGACGAAAATCTGTGCGAAATAGACGAATTTTCATCTGAATATGCACGATCTCTCCCTGGATACTGTATACATATATGTATACTATAGTAATAATTAAATTTGTCGCTATTTTTTTTTTGTAAGAAAATTAATTTGGATGGAATTATAAGATGCTAATATTTTATGTGTTTAATGCATTAATATTACTGTAATAATTATTAATAGTACATTTGAAATAGTATTATTAAGAAAATTTGTAAAAACAATGCAAGTAAAATGTTTGAAATATGTATTTTGAATTGCATAATACTATATGTATATATATATATATATATATATATATGTATGTATAAGGAAGAATGAAAAATATATTTTAGAAAATGTATATTTTGAATTCAGCATACAAAATCGTATGAAATTAAATTAATTAATAGTTGTTATTTTTAGTTGTGATCATTAATTGTGATTATTTATTTTTTTTGTAATCATATATTAGAGAGAAGGAGAGAAAAAGTGAATTCATGAATAGATATACTGGATAAATTATATGATCAATGTAATTTATTCGAAAACAAGATAATGTTTTAGAAAAATAAAATTTTTTCTTGTGTATGGCTTACCAAAAAAAATGTACACATTGCGTACTTTTTATATATTATATATTACTCTTATACATATAGTACTTTTTATATATTATAAATAAATTTGATTAAAAATTGTTATTTTACATGGACAACAATTTAGCCTTTCTTATTTTAGAAACGTTTTCCTTATTTCTCAAGAAACAATGTTTATAGAAGAAATTTACAAAGAATGCATTTTTGTAACGTGTAATGTTATTTTACCGAGACTTTTTGGAGGTAAGTAAAAAAAATATATACATTATATTTTATTTATCAAAGATTTATCTTGGTCTGTCCTGATTTTTGTGAATTAGGCTAAAGCTATTGAATTTTATTGCACCATCTTATTTGTCTGATATAAATTTTTACTATTCTCAGGCTGTGTATTCGATAAAACGGTTGTTCTCGTAAAAGTTTAAGTTTTAACAGAATATTTATAAGAATATTTTTTCGCCGGCTAGGAGTTTATGTCTCACTTTTTGCAACATATGTATCGCTTTGATTTATTTGAAAAAAAGCATACTTCTACTATCAAATAATCAAAAAGTGTTAGTTTCTAGATTGAAATTATTTCATATATTATGTGTAATATTATCAATCTTTTTTTTTAGTAACATATTTTAAATGTACAAAATTGTTAGTTCGATGAAATTTAAATTAAAAAAAAATTAAAATTAAAAATATGAAATTTTTAGAATTGCAATATAAAAAAGTCCAGTTTATTTCGGTCAGTGTATTTGATGCACAAAATGATATTTATAACTCTACGATTTTTTTACAAGGGTTTTTGCATGAGCGAGATCTATCTCCTATTATGTAGCGCGATGCAAAATAAGATTTATAATAATATAGTTCTATATATAAATTTGCAACTTTGTATACGAAATAAGATATAGTCACATTAGGGCTCCTGGATTGTCGCCGCAGCCATATTTAACTGTGACGTCAGAGGCGAGAAATGACACGCTAAGAATTCTTGTGTGGTATTTCTAAATAAAAAAATATTCGGCTAAAACTATACTTTAGTTTGCTTTAGTACACTTCTAAAAGACTTCGAAAATAATCCTTTCCTCTAATAAATAAATAGCTCTAAAATAAACGTCAAAGTTAGCCTCATTATGCAGGAAAATACACTACGGTTTGACACTGCCGATAGGAGTGGAAAATGTTCTTTCCACGATTAAAATTCCTCGCTAATCTTCGTTTTCGAAGTTTTTTACGGGTTTTACGTATACACCACACGTCACAAAACTAGCGTAAAACGAATACTAACGAAATGCCACGCAAGAATCTTTCGGGCTGTCATTTCTCACTTAGAGAAAGAGACAGAACTACATTTCTCGCTTAGAGAAAGAGACAGAACTATAATCCGCCTGATGTCGCTAAATTAAATTTGCAGATTGGCAATATATAATGCGTAAATATTTTTATTAATTAATTTATTGATTAATTTTTACGTTACAAAAAATATGTATATATTAAAAAGATAATACAAAAATAAATAATACAATATAGATAATCGTTTATTTATATATCGATTTTTCTGATATTTCAAATAAAAATAATTTTTTCGAAGGATAAAATAAACAAAGAAAAAACTGACCGAACACAGAACGCAGAATGCGTTATATTTGTTGACTTTACTAAGAGAAAAGATTCTGCATATCTATTCGTTTGTTGGACGTAAGTATTACATTTTACAGTACGAATTGACGAGAATTCAATTTCAAAACTGGAGACTCAAGTCTTCATTTCACGAACTACAAATCAGAGGATGCCTTTGTGAACGTCTCCATGCATTCGTTGTTGCGGGAAATGATGTACGATATCAATATTACAGTACTTATGCATGCGTAAACGCAAGCGTAGCAAAGGATTCATCCTATTCGACATTATTATGGAGATGCGTATATGCATAATTATTATGAATGAAATTATGAAAATGATTCAGTCGATCGTCTTCCAGCTTGTAAATGTATTATAAACTAAAATATTTGAAATATTTGATATATTTGATATATTTGATATATTTTATTGGTATAATGAAAATTTCTAAGCATCGGTATATTATATAATTTTTAAAAAATATAAATAATTTTTTTAATTTTTATGTTTTTTATATTTCGAAAAATATTCGAATATAAGTATTTTAAAATACTCGTATAAGCACATTGGGTCCTAGAAAATCTTTAAGATTGATTTAAATTTTAAGACTTCCAAAAGGAAATTAGTGTATTTTCAATTTTATCGTAAAACTATTTCATAGTATTTTTTTGAATGATAATTGATTTTTGAATATGACTCAAAAAATCTTTCAATGATTTGTAATGTCATGTGTAGATAGAGATTGTTGATAATGATATAATTGTTGATATGATGTAATTTAAGACACAACATAATAGAGAAAATATTACTAACGAATAATAAATAAAAGCGCATTATGAACTATTGAACAAAAGTATAGATAATAGAACAGGGAATAGAAAATATGCATCGTGATAGAAGCAGGGAATAATATATATTCTTTTGTGCCTAAAATTTATTAATCAGATAATTCAAATAGTAATTTTGTATTGCAAATTGTATTACCGACATTACGAGTTATGAAATTGGTTTATACAGTCGATATATAATATATTATTAATTAATATTAGCGTAATCTTGTGTGGGGAATTCTAAATATATAGAGGAGAAAGTTGGATAAAACCGAGTAGGCGGGTCAAATTGGATACCTCTATTTCTGCATGATAAATATTTATTATCTGGTCGTGTTATTAGTTATAAATTAGCGTCATTACTAAACACTACGTAACAGTAATATAACATCGATGTTATAATTTCCCACTCAACAATGTAATTGTTACATTGCAAGGCATGTTATATTTGCGGTTACATTGTTGAGTGGGAAATTATAACATCGATGTTATGTTACTGTTCCTTAATGTTTAGTGGATATTAATTTGATATAATACTTCTTTTTTGAAAGAAGTTAAAAATTTTCGAACCAAAAAAGATTGATATCGGGGCAATTCACTCAAATCACTGTAAACTATATTGCATTAGTTTTTATCGTTTCTTTTACGTCGAAATATACAGTCGCCGTGTTTATTATTTTCCTCGTGTTGGGATAAAACCGGAAAATAAAAATTAGGACTTTGGGTCATATTTTTGTTTATAGAATAATAGGATAAAACAAAAGTATAAAAATATTTTTAATAAATCCAAGTTATGGATTAAACTTATTGGGAATTTTGGTTTAGTACATCGTTATCAAAGTCTGATAATCTAAAAGATATTTTTAACTAGACAGTTCGTTTATAAATATATGGTTTATCTTACTGTTTGCTGCGAGTGACTTGACTCGAGATATAGTCGTATCTTTTGATAGCTAAAATATGATATCTGTGAATTTCAGATTCTTTGTCTCTTTCTCTTATTTGGATCAAACTGAATGAAAACAATTCTATTATTAAAAGTTTGAAGTTTATTAAGAATTAATTCTCTCTTTTTAATTTTTGTAGAAGTATAAAAATTTAAGACTACAGAGTGTATCAGACCACTTGTGCCAGCCGAATATTTCAAAAACCGAGAACGACAGACAAAAATGTTCCTTACAAAAGTTGTAGGGTTTTGAATAACGCATTACATAGTAATATTAGTATGACCTTGAATAGCGTTGTCAAGATCACTTTTAATTTCTTAAATGGAATCCCCTACTTTTCATTATATATTCTTGTAGCTGATGTCGAGAGCTTTCCAAAACACTATAATAAAACATTTTTTCATTAAGTACTTTTTGAATTATAAAGGTTTGAAGTATACAATTTTTTTACATAAAATGTAAAATATCGTGCAAAATATTTAGTTTTCGGTAATCATACCTTAATACTTTTATTCACGGAATAATGAGACCAATCGATTAATGTAAAGAAAACACATAATTGGTTTTAAAAAAATATGTTGCAAATTACATACACCCTTTTTAAAGCAACTATGTGTTTTCTTCACACCAATTGATTCGTCTCATTATTCCATGCATAAAAGTATTAAGGTATGATTATCAAAAACTAAATATTTTGCACGATATTTTACACGTTATTAAAAAAAATTGTTAACTTCAAATTTTTATAACTTAAAAAGTACTTAATGAAAAATGTTTTATTATAGTGTTTTGGAAGTTCTCGACATTAGTTACAAGAATATATAATGAAAAGTAGGGGATTCCATTTAAGAAATTAAAGGTGATCTTTACGTGATCTTGACAACGCTATTCAAGGTCGTATTAATATTATTATGTAATGCGTTACTCGAAACCCTACAACTTTTGTAGGAAACATTTTTGTCTGTCGTGCTCGGTTTTTGAAATATTCGGCTGCCACGAGTGGTCTGATACATTCTGATATATACTATTTGAAAATTATAATAGGATTTATAATTGAAATTAAAGTAGCAAGCGAACAAATACAGAAATAATAGAATTCAAAACTAATTTTGAGAAATTTTAACGAAGATGAGAAGAATATTTTGTCATTAGAATAATAACAGGAGCGAACTTGAATTGTTTTCCTTACTTTAGAACGGGAGCTGTATATATATGTGAAAAAAATTTCGTTTGCAAGAATAACGAGCGCTAAGTGTTCGTGTAAATTTAAGAATCTGAATAAATGCACTCTATTATCAGCTTTCTCCACAGAAGTAACCCAAGTACGAATCACGAATGGTCGTGCTTGTCTGAAATTAACAGTTAGTTAGCGGACCAGATATCTGCGGTTATTAAAGAATATATAAAAAGTTTTCTCCGTTTATGCTTTGAGTTTTGATAGGGATGAGATATATTTTTTTAAATGATATACAAGCCAACTTTCTACACACATATATTCTATTTCAAAAAAGTACTGTTTTAGTTTTACTTTTTATTACAATAGCGTTTTAAAATTTTTAAGTTTAATATTGTACGATAATATTGTACACATTTTAAACGGTTTGTCTTACTTCTGTTTTTCGTCTTTTTAATCGAAATGTTATTATTTTTATGCAAGTAATATTTTAAAGATTTTCGAAATTTAAATTTTGAGGAAACAATTACAAAAAGAACTTAAAAAAATGTAATGCTTTGGAATAAACAAAACATTGTCCGTAAATTTTCAAAGGTGTGTAATACAAATTTTGAAAGCGTTTGATGACCCGTCTATACTAATTACAAAAAATACTAAATTATGGATTAAAATGAGACACATTAAGATTAGGGGTGAAAGAAAGAATAACGAATTGGGAATACAAGAAATGATCAATCAACGAATTTAAGACAAGAGAGACGAGAGGAAGAAGCATTATATATTAAAAATGTTGGATGCGAGAGAAAAGTAGGAAGTAAAAGTATTTCTTGCATCGGATACACGGATTATTTAATTTTGCATAAGCAATTAAAGATATTAAAACAATATGAATTATTAATGCGCAACAATTTATTTTATCATTTATTATTTATTATTATTATTTACTGTAAAATATACTTCACGATTTTTGTGCTCTCTTTCTTTCTTTCTCTTTCTCTCTTTGATACATTATTTATCATGTTACAAAATGATAAAACATATCAATTGTTTGTTGTTTCTAATCATAGTTAGATAGCACGTGTAAATAGCATGCATTTTTGGCGAGCGGGAAAATTGTCCTTTGTACGATGACTGGGTTTTTCTCGTATACTTGGTCCTTCTCCTTATCTCGCATCATCCATCTTGCTCATATACCTCTTTATCAGCTCACTGCAAGGCACATCTTCTGGCGAACCAACTGGAAGACCTTAGGGACATTAATAATCTTACACTAAGCTGTCTGAAAAGGCTCGCGAGGCACAACCGGGATGAAGCGAGATGAAAGAGCCGGAGGTGGACGATGAGCTGGATGAACATAAGGGGTTAAAAGAAAAGATCAGTGCAGAAGAAAGGGGAAAGACTATCATCCTAATAGAATCCATCTTCTTGGTGAAGCCTGACGCTGGATCATCCTTGGTAGAGGACATTTCGCTGAGAGATCACACGACTCGACCATTTCTCGATTAAGCTTTCGGTTTCAAAGGGAATATCATAGCATGATTCTTGAATCCTATGTCAATTGGATCTTGCTGCACGCGGTGTGATACACAGCACGGATCATGTTAATAATTTTTTTTAGAGAAATGTATTAAATATATTATATAAATTAATATAATCGAGAAATGAGAGCTCACATACGTAATATGAATTGAGAATTAATTAAAAAGGATTGGATTAATCATTTAACATATGTAAAAGTAATTTGAACTAGAAAGAGCTTGAGTTTTAACAGTTTTTAAAAATATATTGTTTTTAGATAAATAATTGTTTTAAAATATATTGTTTTTAGACAAATAAATTCAAGAAAGAAAATATCGGTAACAATGAAAGAGAGTGTCGAAGGAAAAAAAGAGTATTCCACTGATGGAATCTATTGTCTCGTCTATCGATTACGTGTTCCTATGCAGATTGAATCGCAAGCTAGGTAAGGCAATTCGATCGCGTTTCACGATTAAACCAAAGCGTGACTGTCGATTATACTTGATATGTCGCAGAAAACATTTCGGTAAAATAGAACATCTTGAAAATCAGTCGCTTTTATGGATTGTCGGTTATGTTGTATGACTGAGGTAATTTAATTTTTTTTAAACTTGATTAAATTTAATTAAGTCTTGGAATAAAATTAAAGAAAAACATTTTATATAAATATTGCAAGTAAAATAAAATTGTAAACCTAAAGAATATGTTAGTCTTTATATACTTACACATATAGTTATACGTAGTAATAATAGAGTATGTGCATTTTTATTTATATTTTTTACGAAATAAAATTATTTCACTTCTTTTTGAAGATAAACGATATTAAATATATTTGATATAACTTTGTTTTTCTTGCAAAAGTTAATGTGTTTTTTAGTTGCATATGACATACTTAGATTTCCTATGGAAAATGGAGATGAAATATAAACAACAAAATTAAATGATTTTATAAATTGAATCTATAATTGTCTTCCTTTTTTCTATATGACATCTATGTGCTTGAAAGATACAATTATCGATTTCTACTTTTGCGCAGGTAGCACAGAATGTCTAATGGACGTCCAGTTTTGGTTTTTATTTAATCCAAACATTTATAGATAATATATGAACATGGACGTTCAAAATATATTTATATTTAGACGTTTTAAAAATGTTTATTTACGTACCTATACAACATAAAACATTTAATTACATTGCAACAATGTAATAATCTTACAAGTTGTAACACATAATATTGGAAAGACATTATAAGACCATTTATGAAAATATAAAATATTATAAAAAAAATATAAAAAATAAAAGTAGTTGTTAGTTCCTTTATTTACCGCTATGTGACGCGCGATGTGCTATATCTGTCTTTCATATTTAAAATTATGAGAATTATATAAAACTTACAAAAAGCGATTATTAAAATTAAAATAGTCGGATATCCGGATATAAACATGAACTTGGACAGTTTCAATAATTTTTTTTATCTCTCTTTGATGTCTGCAATATTTCTGCAATTCTTTTGATGCTATATAACTAATATTAGGCAGGTGTATATAATACTTTATCAGCAAGAGCGTCTGCAGAATTTTTTCCAGGAAAGGGCATATCACTTTCAGATTAATTGATAAAAAAATTTATACTTTAATATTTTTACATCTTTTAATATTAAAGTTTTCTTACCGCGACAAGGTAGATGTAAATCGAGAAAAGTTTTTGTTTTTTTTTTGTTTTTTGTATTTAAAACTTTTTTTGTATTTTTAAAATTTTAATTTAATTATTTGAATTAAAAAAATTTTTTCCCATTTTCTAGGGGGGAGGGACACGTGCCCATTTCCCCTCCCCCTGCGGACGTCCATCTTTATCTACACCTATACCTATTTTAAAAAATATTTTCAATGTTTGTAGACTCAATTTTAGTCTATTTAGTCCTTAAAATTTTTTGATTGTTTAAAAAAGTAACACTAGATATCTTTAAAATTTCCTAAAGATGTCTAAGGCTTCAATCTAGATGTTTTAAGTATGTATACAACGTTCATTATGTATATTTTTATGATAAAAACGTTATTATGCTGGCTTCGCCATGAGGAATTCAAGTCAATCGTATGAAATATTTAATATCGTTTTATTTCAGTGAAGTTATATATTTATAACTTATTATTAATCAGAAAATGAGACCTCGATTAATTCCGCAATTGATTGTGATTACATGTAACATTAACTGTCATGTGGCTTGATTTCTTTCCAATCTTTCCAACGCAGGAAATGGCTAAGGAAAGGTGCTCGAAGGGAGAAAAGGAATTGAAAAATCTCATTACGCAAGAAAGAAGTTCACAATCGCATTCCGACATTTCTCACTCAAAGCACGGAGAGGGAAGCCGCGCTTTTCTCTCGCGATTCGGAGAAGTAATTAAATCGGTTGTACGCTCAAACAACGCCATTATAATCTCTCCCGAGATGCAAGAAAGAAACCGTATAATAACAAAGCATATAATAAGTTCATGAGACAATTAACGATGATGTAAAGCCCGCCCTCTCTCGCACGACTTGTGTAATTTGTAAAAGTCCGAAGAAATTCGATCTTTTCCTTTTTTCCCCGATTATGCGCACGATCGGAAATTATCGTAATGTAAAAAATTATTGTTAAATTCGTGATCGATTGTGCATTGTTTAATTGATATTGTGATTTTCATTGAAGCGTAATTTTATGTCGATGTTGATAGTATATTAATGGATATTGAGAGGTAAGTTGACTTTGGAACAACTTGCAATATTTAAACATTACAAATGTGAAACTTGATATATTTTATGAATTTATATACTTGTTAAGAAGAAAATTTACAAAGAAATTTCACAATTTATACTGCAATTGTGTTCAATCTTAATTTAAACCGTGAAAAATATATAAAATTTATATTAGTCAGTTATTGGTATTATGATTTATTTTTCTGATACAAAAAAACAGCGTAGATATTTTCAAAAAATTGATATTGTTACTTTGAATTTCAGTGATTACTGTACATTTTATCATTTATTAAAACTAACTGTTTTTGTGCTACCATAAAAAAATGCAAACTGTATTAGAATTTTTTTTCCAATTTTCACTGGTATAATGAAAAATCGCAGCAATCTTGAAAATTCTGGATTGCGTCAAATTGTAAAAAAAATATATTGAAAATGTTTGACCTGAATTACAAAGCAAATTTGAATTGCATCATGAATTACATATTGCGATTAAAATTATCGATATAAAAGTCGTTGTATGGACATGAATTATATATTTCGTTAAATAGCTTTCCCAAATTGTATGTTTAAAATTGTTTCACTCGAGTTACACAATGTGAATATTAAATATTTAATAAGTACATATTGTATCTTTCTATGTATATTTTTTATCTATTATTTCCCATACAATGATAACGATTTTCATATTTGTACGAAATTATAACTTTTGTGGTGGTTTTGTATCTAATGTAAATTTAAATTCAGACATATGCAAAAAATTAAATTAGTTGTTTTTATAGAAATTGAATCAATACGAAATATTTGATAAGCATTTCTCATTTCCTCTTGCAAGATTTTCTATATACTTTGATTAAAATCAAGGAAAACACTATTTACGGGGCTGCCTATAAATGTGTAATTATTACAACGTTTCGCAAAATTGATTTCGATATATCTAATTTTAAATTTGCAACAGAAAAAAGGATAGCTGGAAACGTGGATGGATTCGGCTCTTTTTATTGGCGCTAGATCAATATCGAGTATTTGACGAGCCTCTCACTCTGGCCCATCTCCCTTCACTGGCGATGCAAACGGAGGAATGTTGCGAGTAATTTATTTGAAAAATGTCATCAAAGGGACGTGGTCAATTCTGACGAAGCTTTTCACGGTTTATTGCCTCGATGTGCGCTGATAGGTTCACGTGACGTTTTCGGTTGACTGACGAGCATTCGGCAGAACAAACGAGATCACTTTGCACGATTACCGCCGTTCGTTGAATCGAGCGTGTTAATGATCGTCAGCATTGCGATAGATACATTTTTTTTAAACAAAATTTAACGATAAGAGATCTTTTTTCAAAAGAAAAAGAAACTTGATAAATGATATTTAAAAATTGTATATGCTGTTTCTCGCTAAGAATGTTATTTCTCCAGGATCTCTCAATTTGATAGGTCATTTTCATAGAATTTTTTAATTAGAAGAAGAATGCCGCAAAATGCCGCAAATCGCAATGCGCTACAATTCGTTTAATTTTCCAAATTCTAATCATTCTTCATTTCTACAGGGTGTCCCATAGTAAATTGCTGAAACTAATTAGCTGTCATTTTTAATGCATGCAGTTATTGAGAAAACAAAAATTGTGTTGGACAGAGAAAAGTTTTTAATGGATATAAATAAAATATTTGTATAATAGTTTATTTTATTGATAAAAAGTAATGAAAAAAGTGCTAATAATTACATAAAACCACATAAACTAACGATAAATATTTTCAGTGCAAGATTTAATAGCAGCTATTGAAAGGATTATCATTAACATATAAACATTAAAAATGACATGTTAACAATTTTTGAGTTTTCGTAAAAGAACAATTTTGTATCAATTCAAATGATGCGCATTTCGAAAATATTTATCATTAGTTTATACATATGTGTATTATTAGCACCTTTTTATTACTTTTTTTCAATAAAATAAACTGATATACAAACATTTTATTTATATCCATTAAAAATTGCAGACTTCCTATTTTTAACACAATTTTTGTTTTCTCAATAACTGCATGCATTAAAAGATGATAGCTGATCAGTTTCAGCAATTTTCTATGGGACACCCTGTAATTAAATTAGAATTAGAATTGTTATATTAAAACATTTGACATGAAAAATATCTCTTTAAAAATAATATCTAACCAAAAATTTTGAAATTTTAATGTAAAAATTTAAAAAAATACTTAAAATTTTTAAACATTGCAATCTCTATTAAAAATTATTGATCGTAGTGCATCATAGTTTGTAACATTCTTTGTAAAAGCCTATCAAACACACCTATCAAAATTAAGGAGTCCCGAAAATAATATTCTTCCCTATATATCTTTTGTATAAACTTGGTTATACAAAAATTGTATAAATTTAGAAGCAATCAAAAGCAAATGTTTCAAAAAATTTTTATATTATTATTTTTATTGTCTCAACACTTAATTCCGAAATATAATAAACTCTACGTACAAACAACGAACATAAAAGTTACTCGTTAATACGATCGCGAACCGATAGATACTGTGGCGGAAGTGCTCGTCAGTATTCTATGCGTACTATTTCGTAACGGAAATGGCGTCACTCGTTAACCGTATTACAAAGCGGCGCTTGATCGCATTGTTGGTCCATCGTCACCGACGGTAAAACCCACAGATACATATGGTCCCGTCATTGTTGCACATCACGATTCATTTCGCCCGCGGAAGCGCACAGTTGATCGAATCGATACAATTTATTTGCTGTGCTTTCGCCGCGATCAAGTGACAAATTACAACGTATCGTTGCAATCGTTCGGAAATGATCGGGTACATGTTTCAATTCTAGACAGAAACGCGTTGTTGAAAAATCATTTCTGTCGAAATCATTAAATGCAGCACGGCTATTAATCTTACGCAATAAGCGCGATAATGAACACTCTATGTCCTCATGAACAAAAATTATTATATAAGTGATATCATGTGAAAATTTTTGAAGATGTAAATAGTTAAATCAGTGGTTCTTAATTTCTTCTTTTTGAAGTTACAGTTTTGATTATAAGAAAAATTTGTGGAACACCAAAATCATTAAGGTTATAAAACTAATAACAAAAATATGCATAAACATACTTTTTATTGAAAATTATACAGTACAGATTATATAAGTAACAAAATTTAAATTTAAATTTAAAAAAATGTTCATAAAGTTAAAAAATTAGAGTAGTTTTTCTAGGTAGGGCCGTGCTTTTATAATTTCGCGGAACATTTGTAACAAGTTCGCGGAACACCGGTTAAGAATCAGTGACAATGAGTTAAATGTAAATAGTTGAACATGTAAATATAGAATAAAAATTACTGATGATAAAATTCCCTCTTTCTTTCTCTGTTTACGTGTGTACGTACGTAACGTGAAAAGCAGTCGAAACGGCGAAGGTGATTCTTCGTCTCCGTCGGTGAACGAATGTAAGCCTTCGTTCCTCGATCCAACCCCTACTAGCCCATGGAATTTGCAAGCCGCCTACGCTACGTTGCATTGATTGCGCCCTGGGGCGAATTGCATTCGCGGGCACGATCCATCGACCCCCCACCAACATAACGTAACGGCATGCAATGCTAAAATTGATGACGTGAGTACAGACGCGGGGGCTGCTTTGCCGATCGAGGCAGATGGCGCCCCCCGTTTGCCAAGATAAATTCCTGGAAATCAATTGCCTTGGCACCTGGTTCGGTAATTTCGGAAAGGCACGCGTGGAAATTTTGGAATCGAAAAAGTTACGTTAAAATTTTTTATTTTCCTCTCTTGTTGAGAAACACCCCGCAAATATTTAAAGGAACATGCTAATCCCTTTTTTGCATGCATGGTACATATAAGGAGCTCTTCTGAGCTCATCGCGTGTCGTTTTACCTACGGAGATTCTATGAAAGCTTTGAGATTAATCTTTCTCAGCGAGGAAATCTAGAGCCTTTTTCATCGTGTTATCGGATGCAAGCATTTGAAGTGCACCGGAACGTCACCTAGCGTTACCAGATACCAACAAACGAGATACTGGTGTCATCTACCGTCAGAGATCATCGTCGACATTAAAGTTCAAAGGTAAGCATCCCGGACACAATATGCATATGAATGCATCCTCTCAAAGTGCCGAAAACTTTTCCCGAAATTACAATTCTAATTTAATAATTCATGCGCGCCATAGGAATTGGATATTCCCCTGAAAAGCATGATTTTGTTTTCTGCTCTCAGCGGTCGACGTAGTGTCAATTAAAACTTCTCCTATAGTCAAACTATCTCAATGCATGCAGTAACTATATCAAGTGCAAATCATTTTTCCTTATTTAATAGTTTTGCACTCCCTTTTGTGAGCTTAATGCTGTTCTATTTAAGTTAGATTCCCGTATATAATCAAGAATATATAATAACAGTGGTTAGCATCGTTAACTCTCTTAACAAAACAAACTAGTCGTTTAAAGACGTAGAGAAAAAAGACCAATCACTGAGGGGACAAAAAGGAAATATACAATAAGCACATAGAGAGTCGTAAAAATGTATCCTACGCGATCGTGATGTACCGCGTAGGGAAAAAGTTTGAAGGTGAAACGAAGACTTATCCCCAGCTCGCGCATAGTTTTAGAGGTCGGGGATTTACGAACCTCGCATCCACACTCTCGAAAGCCCAAACTTTGTCAAATATATTAAAGGCTGCCTGCCGCGCGGCTCGACGAAGATATTCCAAGCCATCCTTCGCCGCATTCCCCTTTCTACCTTTTCCAACCCTCGGATCGTCTCTCGCGTGTAGAAACGTGCTCTTTTGCGTTTGTTTGTTGCGTCTCATGGGCGTAGGCGCCACAGTTTACTGAAGTTTTGCTTCCGGTAAATAATAGTGTTATTTTGCGAATATGGGACCATTTGGGAGAATTTTGTAAAACGATAGTTGGAAACTTATCAGCGAATTTTTCGAGTTCTATTAGATGTCTATTTTGATAATCGCGATTAATTATGCGACTGCTATGGTGAGTTCTAGCAAACAAGAAGTATATAGCCAAACGAAACATAGATATGTGGAAGGCGTGAAAATCAAAATTTTGTTTTTTTATA